AGTTGACCACTCTTTTCCTTGTGCTTGTTACTAGCTTAATCAACAGACATCTCTGTTTTTATATTTAACATTTTGCATTGTCATTATTTGTGACCCTTTCACCCAACCTTGAAACTTTATGATTGTTTTTGTATTACTTTCTTTGTAAAATTTACAGTTCAGAATTAGGTATGTAGTAGGTCCTCAAATATGTCTACTGGATAGACTAACTGATGAATGTATTGATGAGTGGTTGAATATATAGATAGGTAGACAGATAAATGGAAGAATATATTGATGACTGGATGGATATATAGATGAATAAATGCATTGGTCCACATTTGGATGAATACATTAATGAATATAGTAATGGATGGATGGTACTTTTGGTAATAATGTGTCAATATACCCAGCCATCAAACATTAACTGGGCCCCTACCATGGGCCAGGCAATGTGATAGGACCAAAAATAACGACAAAGAACAAACCCAAAATGTCAGTTTGGAAAATAAAAGCAGCCTAATTTAGTTCCCAATTAGTTATTTTCAAAGCCTGCTGACAAAGAAGAATTTGACCAGAGTCCAGTTTTCCTCCAAACCTTCAGTCTATGCAAAGGTTTCTCAAAAGCCCCTATACAGTGTATGAAATGAAATGTTCCTTAGATGTCCCTCTCTGGGCCCAGTCCGCTCAGCTCATTGCCTATCACCCGAGAACTGTCAAAGGGATGATGAAACAGAGAAACAGACTTCAGTTGTCTAGACAATGGATGATGTTCAAGCCGTTAACAAAAAGCTAATGCTCTCTCCAAATGCAGGTCTGCTTCTGCTGGCAGCAAATCTGAGCTCTGCTCTTTACTTACACCCTTCCTCTCATGGTTCTGCATAGCCTTCTGTGCAAAAGCCTGGTGTGTCAGCATGTCACATAAACGCCCTTATGGTGGTCAGTGGTCAGGGTCCTTCCCACCCCATCCAGCTCCAATATCATTTAGCTGCCAGCCTCACCAAGCTGCTTCCTGCTCCTGCTGGTGTGCCACTGTCTCAGTTGGCCCTTCTTCACTTCAGCTAACTCCTGATCAGAACAGTTTCTACTCATCTTCCACCCTCTGCTCTTCCAGACCCCCTAAATTTCCCACGTTGAGCTAGTTGACTTCCTCTGTGCCTTTTCAATGTCTCACACTTACTCTCCATTGCTCTTCTCGTGTGCCATTCTTTGTTTTGCCACTACTGCGCCCATGTCCTTGAATTGTGGGGTTTGGTCAGAGGGTAGAAAGGTCCAACATCTTTAATTTCTGCATCTACAGGACACGCTGTTAGGCCTGATGCATAAGTTGCAGAAAACAGTTGTGGAGTCAAGAAACCATCTTTCTAGGGTAGGAGAAAGGGCTCAGTTAGTAAAGCACTTGTTTTGCAAGCAGGAACACCTGAGGTTGATCCCTGGAGCTCACGTGAAAAAAAAAAAAAAATACCAGGCATTGTGACACACTTAAAATCCCAGCCTGGAGAGGCAGAGACAGGTGAATCCCTGGGGGCGGGGTGGGGGGGAGCAGTTCGCTGGTCAGTCAGGCCAGTCTACTTGATGAGTTTCAGGATAGTGAGAGCCTTTGCCACAAAGCACAAGATGTGCTTTGCATAAAGCACATTCCTGAGAAATGACATGAAGATTGTTCTCTAGACTACATACACATGTGCATGTGCATTGATACACACACAAGTAACCTCCCCACATTTGCCCCTCACAGGTATTCCTCTCACACATGTACCCCCCACAGGTACTCCTCACACATATGTACCCCCTCCCAAATACATAAAGAAAATCTTTCTAGAAAATTGTCAAAGAACAAATGTCCCAAGTAGAATAGCGATTATTCTTCTCAGAACAGCAGTGCTTTTGTTTTTGCTGTTGCAGTATTCAATTACCAAGAATTTAAAGAATAAAAAATACACAGAAGAAAGTGGAAAATACCCGTAACCCTTCCACCCATAGACAAGCTCTGTTTTTAATCCTCTTTTCTGTTGGTTTATCGTTAAATGACGAGTACTTTCTCCCTGTTGTTATCTTGTCTTTGAGAACACCATTAATTTTTTTTGATTTATTTATTTTTATTTTATGTATATGAGTATTTTGCCAGCATGTATGTAAGTGCACCCTTGTCAAGCAGTGCCCATAGAGACCAGAAGAGGGCATTGGATCCCCTGGAACTGGAGTTACTGAAGGTTGCTAGCCACCATGTGGGTGCTGGAAATCAAACCCAGGTCCTCTGCAAACACAGCCAATGCTTTTAACCACTGAGCCAGCTCTCCAGCCCCAAGGACATGTTTTTGTTTTTTTTTTTTTAAGTTTTATTTCTTTCGTTTTCATTTATGAGTATGTCTATGTGGGTATGTGCACATGAGTGCAGGTGCCCACCAAAGCCAGAGGAGGGTGTCAGATATCCTGAAGCTGGAGTTACAAGCAGTTGTGAGCTGCCTGATGTGGGTGCTAAGTGCTCTTAATCACTGAGCCATCTCTCCAGTCCCAAGAACACGATTTTGAATGATTCAGAGGTTCACTGAATGGGTCCACAGCACTGCTCTTTGCCATTTCCCTGGTCTGTTCATCTTGTCCTTGGAGCTCCAGTTCTTTCTTATGTATCACTTCTGTGCCGTGGAGGTTGGGATGGACAGGTGACCCACTAGGCCAACCTCTCTTTTAGGAATTCCTTGTAGTCTCCTCCTGCTCTTTAGTAGTTTGACTTCTTCCACTGCTTTTGGTGAAGAGGAGTATGAAGTGAGAAAATACTACCATGCTCTCCTTTTCTGGAGTAGTTTTCAAATGCTCCAGTTCACAATGCCATCAGCATGAAGTGTTTGTGAAGGGTCCACAACCATGTTTCTTAGAAAACTTTTTCATTACATATGTATGTATGCATGTATGTATGTATAGAAGTGGATATGTCATGGTATGCTTGTGGCAATGAAAGAAGAACTTGCAGGAGTTGATTTTCTTTCTCCCATATGGGTACCAGGGATCAAACTCAAGTCTTTAGACTTGGTGCCAACCACCTTTACCTACTGAGGCACCTTACCAGCTTTTAGGGATTTTTAATATCACATTTGTCTGAAGCTTCAAGGAGATACACTTCTCCTTCTATGTCTGATGGATTTACTGTGCCATGGCATCTTAGTGGAGTCCTGCTTGACCACAGGCTAAGGGGTTTGGTGGGGTGGAAAGGGTACAAGTGCTGCTAGGCAGACAGCTATCCCCTGTGATGAACATACCCAGGCCAAAGTTGGCTGCATGGGTGTGACACAAGGCAGGTACAAGTCATCCTTAAGGCTGCTTGTTGCCTCGTCCTCACCTCTAATCCAGCACAGAATCCTGTTAACTGATCTTCCATTTGTTCCAGCTTGCTCTCTGCTTCTGTTTCCTCCTTATCTCTCTCTTCTTTGGCCATCAAAGAAGACCCCTGTCTTCCATCTTGATTATAAGAACAATAATAAACCTGAAAATAACCCACTTGCATCTTTATACCCCCCCCAATCTGTTTTCTGCCCTGCCTTCCAGTGGTAGTACAAGAGTACGGTTATGGTCCCTCATTGATTAAACACTTTCAATGTCTTCTCTTTATTTTAAGATGAAGACAAAATTGAACATGGGCTACAAAACTGAGCACAGCCTCCAAAACTATACATTGGCATTATCCACCCATTTAGCCTTACCTAATACCACAATTCCCTGTCTGTCTCTGCTTTAACTTCACTTGTCTGTATCCAGTTCCTCATAGTACCACAGGCCTATTGAACCTGCTGTCCCTTTTGCCTGCTCATGTCTTCACTTACCTGCTTAATGCTAACTTATCCCATAGGTCAAACTGAATTTCTTGAGCCTTGATAAATCTTATTCAGCTTTCAGATAATATACCCTTCTTTTTTCTCTTTAAAAACTGTGTGGATGTGGCTCATGTGTGCACATATGCTCATGTGTGTGCGTGGATGTACAGACCAAAGATTAACGCTGGGCATCTTCTTCAGTGGCTTTCCGTGTTGCTTTTCTGAGACAGATTCTCTCATGGAACCTGGAGTTCACCAATTAGGTCAGATTATCTGGCCAACAAACTCAAAGGATCCTCCTGCCTCTAACTCTGCAGCATGAGGGTTACAGGCATGCGCCACCTCACACAGCTTTTTACCTGGGTGTTGGGAATCTGAACTCAGATTTTCGTGTTTGCACAGCAACCACTTTACCAACTCTATTAAGGCCCCTGCTCCATACCTTCTTTCTCTTGTAACATGTGTCATAAATCTGCAGTTAATCAGCTGGTGTCTGTTCTTTTCCTTAGACTATAAAACCTCATGAGAACAGGGATCACATCTATTTCCTTGTTTATCCCCATCCAACTAGCTGAGCCCTGACATGCACAAATAAATATTAGTTGAATGAGTAATAAATAGATGAGATATCATGACTTTGAAGCTAGATGCTGCTTGGTTTATGAGAAAGCCGTTCCTTTCATGGAAATCTATAAAAACATAATAGAATACACAGGACTGGAGAGATGGCTCAACTGTTGAGTGCTAGTCCTCCTTCAGAGGACCGAAGTTCGGTTCCCAGTACCCACATTGAGTGGTTCACAACTGCCTGTAACTCCAGTTTCAGAGGATCTGATGCCCTCTTCTGGCTTCTGCAGGTACCTGTACACATGTGTGCACACTCACACACAGGAATACATGTACATAAAAAAAAAAGAATATGCACTCAGTTTCTCCTACAAGAAGATCGTGCGCACCCTGGTCTATGGATCTGTTAATAAGAAGAGTTAGGTAATTGATCTGAGACTTGGTCCAGGCTGATGGCTAAGAGTGTGTGATCAGTTAGTAGTGCCTGCACAGTTCCTTATAGGTCCACAGTTGGAGGCTCTGTGTGCTAAGCAATGGTTCTGCATATTTATACTTCAGTGCTGTGCCGATGGTAGCACCTGCTTGTTTGTTTGATGCTTCTTTAATTTTTCCCTAAAATGTTTCTTTCTTTCTTCCTCCATCTAGATTCATGGTCAATGTGACGTGGGATGGCAAAGACTTGTCCTTCACTGAGGAAGGCTATCAGGTGCACCCCAGGCTCGTGGTGATTGTGCTGAACAAGGACCGAGAGTGGGAAAAGGTAAGTGTCCTTCTAAGAGGCTATGTGGGCAAAGCAGAGCTGAAGCCATCTTTTCCCACAGCAGTCCCTGTAGAGTTGTGCCAGGCTCCTTTCCAAAGCCCAGGGTGGGCCTTTGTAAGAACAAGGCAGGGTGATGGTTGCAAGGTGCAGTAGGAAAGCTCTTGCAATCACATGTTGCTCCAAAATTCCAGCAGAAATGGTCCTGGTAGGATTGAGCATAATTTCAAGATGGTTAAGTTTGACTTGCACTATAGCAGAAGCAAACGTTGGCTGCATAGCGGAGATCACACTAGTTTGCTTGAATCACCTAAATGTGCACCATGTTCACTACCTGCCACGTGACCAAGCATCCCATATCTTTATTTACTTAGTCTTTTACTTTAAGTAAACTACTTCCCCAAACTGTGACTATCTGTAAATTATATGTCACAAGGGAGATTATAAACCTTATAAAGCACATGTTCAAATACATGCATAACATAGAAAAGTCTGTGTGCAAAGGAAAAAAAACCTCACCCTATTCATCACATAGTTGCATCCTGAGTCAGAGACAGGAGACCTCCCAGGGAATTTACCCAGATCTCCGATACACAGTGATACCTGTCCCAGAGATGTACCTCCTCCCCACAGTATCACATAAAGAGTGCATTGAAAGGGCCAACACTCTGGAACATCATGGAGGAAGGGATGGGGAAATGTAATAGCTAAAAATAGGGTGGAGTCCTGTCTCTTGAACATGACATGGCTGATGCACACATGAACTCGCAGCAGCTGTGGTTGCCTGCTTAAGACTTGTACAAGATCAAGCCAGTTAAAATTCCAGCATGGAGCTGGGGAGGAGCTCTTGAACCTCACCCCTGGCTGAAGAGCAATTGGCAGTTAATGGCTTCTAGAGGAGGAGCCACTTTTCCTTGGGGATGCAGCCAATGGCAGGTTGCCCATGTTCCCGTGGGTAACCCCACACTCATGCCTATGTGGGGAGCACTAATTGGACACAGTGGATTATAAATTAAAATAAAAATTTAAGAAGACATAAATAGAAAATTACTGTGTTGACTAGTCTTCTTTGACAAGATATGCCTGGTTTTAGAACTTGAGATTTATCTTTGCTTTGGACATCAGATAGAGACCCTAGAGAGGAGAAACGGGTGGATATGGTGTGGAGAATCACATAGTTAAGAGAAGTTAGGAGAAAATGCTCCACAAACAGAAGCATGGCCTTGGTGGGGGCGGTAACGGATTCCTAGAGAGGAACAGTGAAGAAACACCTATGAAAAGTTTGCCCGCTATATCCATCAACCAGAGCATACACATTCCTTCAAGAGCAATGGAAATTCGTTACAGTAGACTGCATTATGGAGTATGGAACTAGTCTCAGTATGTTTGAAAAGATGGAAATGATACAAGATCCCTCCTCTAATCACAGAAATATTCAAAGAGAAATTAGTACCAAAAATATATCCCAGAAATCACACAAATGTTCGGAAACTTTGACATGGCTTTACATAAATTTTAGGTCAAAGGAGAAGTAAAAAAGACAGAAGATACTTTGAACTGAATAGTAATGAAAACAGCACACCAAAGCTCAAGGAATGAAGCAGATGTGCCAAGAGGGAAATTCATGGCTGGAAATGCTTATAATTTAAAGAGATATTGTGGGACTGGAGAGATGGTTCAGTGGTTAACAGCACCCCCTGCTCTTCCAGAGGATCTGATTCTGGGTCCCAGTATGCACACAGGGTAGCTCACAATCACCTGTAACTCCTGTCCCTGTTCTAGAGGATCCAGTGCCTTATACACACACACACACACACACACATGCACACACACACATGCACACACACATACAGAGAGAGAGAGAGAGAGAGAGAGAATATATAACTGATGATTGATCATGGAAAAAAAAGACAGAGGTAGTGGCATATGTCTTATAACCAGTAATCTGTGAAAAACTAGTGCTTTGAAATGACAGATAAAATGTATAATTCATAGGGCCTGGAGAGATGGCTTAGTGGTTAAAAGTACTGGTGCTCTTACAAGAGGACCTGGGTTCAGTTCCCAGCACCCACTTGGGCGACTAACAGCTGTCCATAACTCCAGTTTCAGGGTATCCGAGGTGCTCTTCTGACCTCCGTAGGCATGACACGGGTGCACTTACATACATGCAAGCAATACACTCATACACATAAAAAATTTATAGTTTAAAACAACGATTACATAAAAAGGAAAACACAAATAATCAATAATAAAAACATAATAGATAAAACTACAGAAATCACAGATCCTAAGTAAAAAAGAATATTAGATAAAATTTATACTAAAAAATTAGACAATATTGATAAAATAGGCAAACAAAAACATATTTTTTTCCAAATTGACATGAGAGAAAACTTAGCCATCTGAATAGTCTTTATTTGCTATGATATTGAAAGTATAGCTGAAAAACTTCCCATTAAAAAAGGAACAAAAATGCTTCATGCCCAGATGGCTTCACTGTGAATTTGAACAAATGTTTAAAAAAGAAGTAACACCAATGTACACAAAGTTTCCACCGTGTTTCTCATCATAGACAATAAGATACATTCAAAAGGACAATGCATCAGGGATAAGAGGGGTTTATTTTAGGAATGTAGCAGTGGCTTCATATTTAAAAAGCAAATTGGTATAATTTTCTATATTAACAGAATAAAAGAGAAAATTATATAATTATTGGAAGAGATGTAGAAAACACACTTGACAAAACTCAATATTCATTCATGCTAAGAAGGCCAATTCTTTAACCTGATAAAGGAGAATTATACAATGAATATCTTTTTTTAAAAGTATTTTTATTTACTCTTTGAGATTTTCATAATAAGTACAATATATTTTGGTCACATTCATGCCCAACTCTACCCTTCCAACTTCTCCTAGACCACCCCGAAGATTCTCCTCACAACTCATGTCCTCTTTAAAAAATTTTTTCTAAAGTTTATTTTTTTTAATTTTTTAAAATTTAATAACCACATGATTAGAATAAGCATTTCATTACAGCTTTAACATATTCAGTAACACATTCCAGAGCAAGGATACATCTCTTTCAAAGGTGGCTGTAAAATTTCAGGTTCACAGTTGAATTAATACAGTCATACAATACTGAACTCAGTATAAGCCCTGTAAGAAACAAAATTGAATGAGTTTTTACTCTTTAAAGAAGATCTCCATTTCATTTTAAGATATGCTGTTTCCTACATTTTTAATGCTACTAACGCTTAGATGTTTACACATGTGTCTTTAATCTCTATGTATCTGATGATTACTAGTCACAGTCGGTTACACTCGGATCCTTAATACCTGAGTATGTATGTAAAGTCATCAGGTAGATTTCAGTAGTAATGTTTATCACCTCTACAATTTAGAAGCCCTGTAAGACATAAAATTTAATGAGTTTCTAACCTTTAAAAAAGATCTCCATTTCATTTTAGAATATATTGTTCCTTGCAGAAAGACTCATTGTTTTTTCTACTAACAGTATTTTTCTTTTTATGACCACTGAGGCCAGTTAGTGTTGCTTGTGTATGGACGGGTGTGGAACCATCCACTGGAGCATGGTCAGTCTACCAGTGTCCACACCAAAGAAAACTCCTCTCCCTCCCCCAGAAACCATCAACTGTCATCAGTACCTCTTCAGCCCACAGTTGCTGTGAGTTCATGAGTGCAACAGCCCTGTTATGTCCAGAAGACACCTACAGTAAATGTTAATGATAAAACAGTGAAAACAGATATGAAGGCAGAGTGAAGTGATTTTCATGAGTGGTGATGAAGAAAGGCACAAGGCTTTTTGTAAATGGGATCATGCAGGCTGAAGAGCCATCAAGAAAACAAAAGCAAACCTTGACCTACTGCTCACACTAGGCACAAAACTACTTGAAATAAATTTCAGACATACATGGAAAAACTAAAATCACAAAGTCTGTAAAAGTTAACACAGGATGATTTGCAAGGGGGAGGGTCTGAGAGGACACAGATTTCTTAAATGGAATTCAAAAAATAATAAAATATCCAGCAAACATAACAGATGGCTCTCAAATTTTAAAAAATAATTTGCTCATATAAAGACACTTTTAGAAATAAAAAAGGCAAGATACAAATTGGTAGAAGTAATACAGGTATGTTACAAAGGATACATATCTAGAGTATGTAAAGAACTACAAATCAATACTAACAAGATCAACAACCCAAATAAAAACAGAAGTTAACTTAGATATTTCACAAAAGATATTATCCAAATGACACTTTCAAGGCAAAGCTTAGCATCATTGCTCACTAGGGGAGTATGAATATTTATGTGTGATATTGGAAACTGAACCCCATTTTTTGAATGCTAGGCAAGTGCTCTACCACTAGGTTATATCCCCAGCATGGAGCCATGCAAATTAAAATGATAAAGAGGATTCAGTTTCATACCTATTTAATGGCTATTAATAAAAAGAATTGACAGTGTCAACTTCTAGTGCAAGTATGAGGTGGTGGAGCCTCTTACATGACAGGTGAAGATCTAAAATCACAGCTGGCATGGAAAATTATTTGGCAGTATTTTCATGCAGTGGATAACACACACAAATCTTATGATCCAGCAATTCTATTCCCAGTTATGAATACTAAAGAAATATAAGTATACATCCAAAGCATTACACATGAACAATAATGTTCATTGAAACTTTATTCATAATAAACATCTGAGGCAGCTCAACTATCTGTTTGTAGGAAATGAATACATAAAAATGGCATATTAACAAAATTGATTGCTATTAATAAAAAGGAACCAACTACTAATATGTATGGTGATGTGAATTTTTTTTTTAGTTTTGAGAATTTCATCCATGAATACCGTACTTACATTATTTCTATCCCTCCCTCTCCCCTTCACATTCTTTCCATATTACTCACTCTCATTTTCTCAACCACTTCTTTAATTATTATTGTTAAATGTATCTTGCATATATGTATGTGATGTGATT